AGAACATAAGATAATAATGCAAAGATCAAGCCTTATTAATTTTTAACCCTCAAAATATAACACAATTTCTAGGACATAGTAGATAAAAATAGAACATAAGATAATAATGCAAAGATCAAGCCTTATTAATTTTTAACCATCAAAATATAACACAATTTCTAGGACATAGTAGATAGGAAAATGTATCACGAGCTGTGCAGTGGCACACACCTGTAATCCCAGTACTTGGGAAGATTGCTGCAAGTTAAAGACCAGCCTAGTGAGTTCAAGACCAGCCTGAACTGCACTGCAAGACCCTGTCTCAAAAAAGAAAGAAAAAGAAAGAAAAGAAAATGTATCATGAATGAATTTACGAGTGGGTGAAAAGAAAGGAAAAGAGAATAAAATACTGCTCACAGGCACAACTATATATCTTGATATTTTATTTACATTTTATATATTCAACTTCGCTATTAATGAGAGGAAAACCTACAATAACAACTTCATAAATCATTCTTCCAAATAATTATTATCTCATATTTCTTTGAACAGGAATCTTCTACTACAGCAACCTTTTATAAAAGAAGCACTGGATTTAGGCCTAAATTGTTAAGCAATTAAAAGGGAAAGTATTCATTGCTGGGAAAGTAGTTATGTGGTGCAAAACTTGTGTAAAGCCCTAGGTTCAATCTCTAGTAGTACCACAAACAAAATGAAACAAATATAGGAAAAAGAATAGTATAACACAAATAGTATGGGATTTCCTGAAGGGCAATAAGTAGCAGTGTTACATATTCATTCCCACATTATTCCAGGATGGTTAGCAAATAAGTAAACAGGTTTTTATATTCAGTTCAGATGTAAAACATTGAAAAAAAGTTCTAGTATAGAAGTTAGAAGGCCTATTTACCCTTTAAAAGTTATGCTAACTGAGCCAATCACTTGGGCTTTCCAAGTCTCAGTATTTATATCTGCTCAATGGAAATAAAAACAATTTTCCCATATAGCTCACAGAATAGTCCTAAAGTTCAAATAAGTTAATATATATTAAAGCACTTTATAAATTCACCTGTAGTTTATGCAAATATACCTATTGTTTTATTAATTATCATACAGTTTATTTGTAACTGGATTCTAATGAATATACTATTTACACACATATGTTCTTGATACATGTTTTTATATATAATTTTATGAAAACTGAAAGGCTTATGATTTAGAAAACAACTTGATAAAGTAAAACTACATA